TTATCCGACGAAAAAATAAAATCATTCGCCTGTAAAGGAAAAAACAATATAAATAAAATAAGTTCATTTTGAATCATTTCAATGATAATATTTAATGTATTTATGGATAATAAAATTTGATATGCACCGATATTKTACTTATGTCGTTGTGACGCAGATCCAATAATTCTAACTCTAGTTTATTTGTAGTCCAATCAGAATAAAAATATTTAATTTTATTGTTTGATAAATGCAATTCTTTAAGAAGATGATTATTAAAAAAAGGTGACATCATATTCAATGGAGTATCAAACTCTAGAATATTATCTGAGAACTTAGCTATGGATAATTGTTCATTGGTTGAAAATGCTTTACTATGGATATATTTCAAGCGATTTCCTTCCATGTTAAGTTCTTCTAACGATGTCAAACCATTGAACAAATTTCTAAAAAATATTTTTTTTTGAAAAACAATATTTACTGTACAACCTAGCTTCTGAGATTTGTTAAAAAAAAAATAGCGGAAACTAAGTTGTACACTTATTAGATTAAAAATAAATCTTTAACTATAAATTTTATAATCATTTACCTTTGTACAATAGAAATACGATTAAAAGACAAGTCGAGTACTTTTAATTTTCTTACAGATGTAAAAATGATATCAGGAAGAATCTCAATCAAATTCTTACTTATTAAGATCTTTTCAATATTTTGTAAATTTCTAAAGATAGATTCTGGTAATATTCTAAAATTATTCTCACTTAAATCGATGTATTTTAAAGATGTTGAATACCAGAAAAGATTTTCTGGTATATTATTCAAATAATTTCTTCTTAATTCAACTTCCTCAAGATGTTCTAGATCATTTAAAAATTTATTCGACAATGTTTTTAATTCTCCTCTATTCTCATTTAACAATATTTTTTTCAATTTGTTATTCTTACTAAACAAATTTGATGGAAAACCTTTGAAATTATTATTGGACAAATCAATTGTTTCTAAATTCTGTAAACCAGAAAAAACAAATTCCGGTAAATCAGACAAAAAATTTGTTCTTAGGTTTAAATATTTTAATGATGTTAATTCTTTAAATGTTTCACCATCAAGGTCTTCCAAAAAATTTCTTTCAACATTTAGAATTTCTAAATAATTTAAATTATCAAATAATTTAGGGGGAAGCTGTCTTATATCATTTCCATTTACATCAAGTTGCTTAAGATTCAAAGTTTCTTTAAAATTATCTTTGCTCAAAACAAGATTATTTTCAGATAAATCAAGAAACTCCAATTCAGCGAAATTGCTAAGAAAATCTGACGAAATATTAGTTAAACCGTTATTGGATAAAACCAATTTGGTCAAATTTGGAAATCCTTCAAGATGCTCTCTTTTCAATTCTTTTCTGAGATCCCAATAAGATTGAAAGCTTAGACCATTTGTTTCTTTAATTCCAAACATTTGAACAATTTGTTTTAATGTAAATTCTCTTGGTAAATGGCAATTTTTAAACTTCACCAAATCAACAACATCTGCGAATTCTTTTCTGATAATATTAAATTCATACCAACCAAGATTATTACAATCGACCTGTTGAATTTTAATTTAATTTTAATTTAAAGAAAATAACAAAATTTTAATTATCAAATCGCATATAACATATCATGTCTAGAATTCAGCTTTTTATTTTGAAACTTTTTTTTATATCCTAATGATATTAAATGCAATATAAATTCTGCCAGAATATGATTTGTATTTAACTGAATATAAAAAGATTGAAAAGATACTGAGTAAATATACCTGGAAATCTGACCATGAAGCTACACCTATTGTAAATGTCAAATTGTTATTTGAAATTAAAATAGAGCTTATATCCCCTAATTGATTTTCCGAGCATTCACAATATGTAATATTCTCGCATTCAGGATTAGAAGCACTAATTGTTTTAGAGGCAAGAACGAGTATCAATAAAATTGTGATAGACATTGTTTTTTAGCAGTCCACTAGAAAATAGAAATACATGTAACATAATTTAAGGGAGAAAGTAATTGAGATATTTATAAACACAATTTTCTTTTGAGTATTTGTGATGTAACTTTGATACGTTTGATAAATCTTTCAATTTTTGTTCTCTTTGAAGTGAAAACTTCCTTAGAATGAGTGTGATTTGAAAAAATGAAATGCGATGATAAAATGAGAAAACGAAACCATGATGTAGTGGGGAATGAAAACAGATGATGTGTGATTCTACAAATATGTATAAATTAAATACAATATTAAAATTCAATTTTGTCATTAAATAAATAGCTACAAATTAAAAGTACAAATAATATTATAATATTATKATATAATAGATAATCATCGAAACTTGTTCACTTAAAGGTTACATTTCTAACTTGTGTGATATGTATACATGTTTTTCTTTTTTGCTTATGTTTCTGTACTTACCTAAGATCATTGATGAAAAATTCAAGGGTTGAACAATTTTGTTAAACTGCCAATACTTTGATGCAGTTTCTACTTCTTATCTAAATGATTCTGTTCTTTATTAGATGATTCCATTCCTTAGATAAGTATAATTACTAATTCACAATTATGTTTCAGTTATATGAGTTTTGGAATACAAAAAAACAAAAAAGTTATTATCAATTATGGTGAAAAGAAATTGAAGATTTAAGTGCYAAGAAAGAAAGAAGAAAAACTTTGTTACAGCTACAAACGAATATAAAGTTTTATAATAATTTGTATAATATCAATAAAAGATTAAATTAAATAAAAATAAATAAAAGTATCTTACATTTAGAATGATAAAGAAAATACACAGTTAAACTAAATCACTTTTACAATAATTAAATTAAGATACAAATAACTTCTCCTTTTTTCTTTTTAATTTAAAATGATGTGTCAATGTAACGACTTTGCAAACACTTATCTACTTCTATGTAGACTCGATGAATATTAGAGAATTAGGGAATTAATTTCTACATACGTAAGTTGAAATACGTTTGAGAAAAATCTAAATTAACGACTCTACGTGTTAGTTAATATTCATGTTCATTGGTCCGCTATTTGTAAACAACTTTTTATTTAAAAATCAAATAAATTTCGTTCAAAATGATTGACACTGTATACAAATATAGAATTGTAAATATATACAGTAACTGTATTGAGGAAAAATAAGAAATAAAGGACTAATGATAATAATTACAAGATTTTAATGGAATAAAACTATTATGTATTAACATCTTTCCTAAAATCCATACAAATTTTTAATAGGAGAATAATTTTATGTAAGACATTTTYTACACAGTAGAAAAAAATGTAATATATGATATAAATCTTGAAAAAATATCGAAGTCAATAACTACTTATAATGTTGTAATACATAATAAATAGTAAATAAAAACCTTGATTTATGTCATACATTTATTTTTAACTATGACATATGTTATATGTTCAAAAAGTGATACTTCTTGTGAAAATAATATATTTTATATATTCTACTAATGTTATTACACAAAATAATATATTTTATTTCTTCGAAAAATAATACTTCCGCAAGTAAAACATTGCATTCCTTTAAAAATGTGTAAGTTTTTAAAAACAAATGTTTTTTTCTCCAAGAAGTAATATTTTGAAAAAAAAGAAATATATTTTATTAGTAATAAAATTTAATTAAAATATTATTTAAGTAGTGTTCCATTTGATAGATATTTCTCAACTAAAAATTCGAATATTTAACAAAATATTTATGCAAATATTGTGAATTTTAATTTAATTTTGTTTTATATTATGAAAATCATTTTCACAATTTACTTCAAACTAAAGATTGTTAAACATATAATTATTACTAACAGTACACTATTATATTTTTCTTAAATAATCTATCATTTTACATATTATTTGAGATATATTATTTTCAGAAATATTAAGTATCACTTTTTAAAATATTTTATCTATACTTCTTACTTATGCAGAAACATTTTTATTCTTTTTCTCACTTGCAAAGTATTTTAGTGTGTGTGTGTTATTCTCTTTTTTGAAAACATATTTACTAACACTACAATGATAATAGTTGGCAAATTGTCCTGATATGTGAAAAAATGCTTCTGCTAATGTTGTTCATAACATTATTGATTACAATAAAAAAAATGTATTATAAATAATTATTAAGAGACTATAAAAATATAAATATAAAAATGGCAATACTAAACATTGATCGGATTAAATTGTTTTTGTTTTCTGCTAAATCTGCCCAAACCTTTATGTCCATTTCATTTGATTCCACATTTTTGACAAATTGTTAATGTAGAAAGTAGGATGGACACAATTTTTCATAGGACATATTAAGTAAAGGAATATTTTTGTCCTCACATTTAACATTTTTAAAATCTGCATAAAGATGTTGCTTTTGTGAAACTAATCTATATAAAAATCTAGCTTCGCAATCACATACAAATGGATTCCCACTTAAAGTAAGTACTTTGAAGTCTTGAAGATACAAGAAGTCACATGCTTCATAACTCAACATTACTAGATTATTATTATGTAATTCTAATACCTAAAAACGTAAAAGAAAATAAAAGTGAAAATTAAAGGAAAAATAACAATAATAATAAAATAAGATATTTACGTACTTTGAGAGTTGTTGGTAATTTGTCCAACGGTATTTCAGAAAACTGGTTATTAGATAACAATAATTCTGTTACGTTAAGTGATACTAAACCTTTCAATGTACGTATCATCTCCATATTATTCGATCTAAGATTCAATGCAAATGGATACTTTCCAAAATAATTCATATGTTTCTCTTTAATCGCGAATGACACAAAATTTCTGTTCGAACAATCTATAACTCGTGTTCTGTCATAAGGTCTTATTTTACAAGAACAACCCTCTCGACATTTTTTTCCAATTTTAAAGTATTCATTCTCGAGACATTGGTACGTCGTAAAATCTAGTTGATTAATTCGTGGCCCTACTATTCCATTTGGTTGAAGACACTGAASGTTTCCAAAATCAAGTTTAACGAAACTATATACATTTTTGTTCACACAATTTTTACAATATCGCAAAAGAGAATATAGATTACAATCGCATAATATCGGATTGTTATTGACGTAAACAACAACGTTACTTTTCTCGGTATAATGTTCTGCCAATAATGCAAAATTATTTAGTGAAATATTATTTATGTTGTTATTTCTTAGATCAACTATGATTTCTTCCGAAGAAAACATTAAATTATAGTCCTATAAAATAAAACAAAATCACTTTCAGTCATTTCAATAATAGTATTTATTATATTTACAGATTGTAAAATTTGATATTTACCGTTATTGTACTTATTTTGTTAAATCTCAAATCTAAGAATTTTAACCTTTGTTTATTTACATTCCAGTCGTAAAAAAAATGGTTTATTTCATTGCGCGCTAAATGCAATTCCTTAAGAAGAAGATTATTATAAAAAGGTGACATCACTTCATTCTTATAATTAAAAGATAGAAAATTATTTGAGAAATGTGCGATGGATAAACGTTCATTGGATAAAAATGCCGAAATATGGATAAATTTCAAGCCATTTCCATTCATGTAAAGTTCTTCTAACAATTTCAAACCGTTAAATAAATCTCTATAAAAATATTTATATTTAAAGAATAATATTTAATGTACAACATTGCTTCCGAGATTTTTATACAGAAGAATTGAAGAAAAAATAGCGGAAGCTTAGTTGGACACTTATTAGATTGAAAATATATCTTTTACTATAAATTTTATAATAATTTACCTTGATATATAATTAATATTATTAATAGACAAGTCAAGTACTTTTAATTTTTTTACATATGAAAAAATCATATCAGGAAGAGTCCTAATGAAATTCTTACTTATTGAGATCTTTTCAATATTTTGTGAATCTCTAAAGATAGATTCTGGTAATCTTCTAAGAACATTCTGACTTAAATCGATATATTTCAAAGATGTTGAATACCAGAAAAGATTTTCTGGTATACGATTCAAATGATTTCTTTTTAATTCAACTTCCTCAAGATTTTCTTTATCACTTAAAAATCTATTCGGCAATATTTTTAATTCTCCTTCATTACCATTTAAGAATACTTTTTTCAATTTATAATTTTTACTAAACAAATTTGATGGAAAACTCTTGAAATAATTATCAGACAAATCAATTAATTCTAAATTCTGTAAATCATAAAAAATAAATTCCGGTAAATCAGACAAAAAATTTGATCTTAGGTATAAATATTTTAATGACGTTAGTTCTTTAAATGTTTCACTATCAAGATCTTCCAATAAATTTTTTCCAAGATTTAGAATTTCTAAAGATTTTAAATTATCAAATAATTTAGGGGGAAGCTTTGTTATATCATTTCCATATAAATTAAGTTGCTTAAGATTCAATGTTTCATTAAATGTATCTTTGCTCAAAACAAGAGTATTTTCAGATAAATCAAGAAACTCCAATTCAGAAAAACTGCTAAACAAATCAGATGATATATTAGTTAAACTATTATGGGATAAAACTAATTTGATCAAATCTGAAAATCCTTCAAGCTGTTTTTTTTTAAGTTCTGTGCTGAGCTTGTTATAAGATTGAAAGCTCAGTCCATTTGTTTCTTTAATTCCAAATCTTTCGACAATTCGTTTAAATGTAGATTTTCTTGGTAAGTGGCAATTTATAAACTTCACAGAATCGATTACATCTGCGAATTCTTTTCTCGTAATATTTAATTCATTCCAACCAAGATTATTACAATCGACCTGTTGAATTTTAATTTAATATATTTAAATAAAATACAAATTTCATTCATCAAATCGCATATAACATATCATGTCTAGAGTTCAGCTTTTTATTTTGAAACTTTTTTTTATATCTTAATGATATTAAATGCAATATAAATTCTGCCAGAATAAGATTTGTATTTAACTGAATATAAATAAATTGAAAAGATAATGAGTAAATATACCTGGAAATCTGACCATGAAGCTACACCTATTTTAAATGTCAAATTTTTATTTGAAATTAAAATAGAATTTATATCCCCCGTTTCATTTGCCGAGCATTCACAATATGGAACATTCTCGCATTCAGGATTAGAAGCATAAATTGTTGTAAAGACAAGAAAAAGTATCAATAAAACTGTGGTATCCATTTTTTGTTAGCAGTCCACTAGAAGATCAAAATGTAGTGTAGGGGATAAAAATGATGTAGTGTGGAAAGAAAACAGATTTTTTAAAAGTTTTTTTCTTTCTTATCTCATGTTTCTGTACCTACCTAAGATCATTGATGAAAAATTCAAGGGTTGAACAATTTCGTTAAACTGCCAATACTTTGATGCAGCTTCAACTTCTTGTCTCAATGAATATTATTTATTAGATGATTCCATTCCTTAGATAAGTATAATTAATAATTCACAATCTTGTTTCAGTTATATAAACTTTTGAATACAAAAATAACATAAAGATTATTATCAATTATGGTGAAAAGAAATTGTAGATTTAAGTGCTRAAAAAGAAACAAGAAAAACTTTGTTACAGCTACAAACCAATATAAAATTTCATAATAATTTGAATAATGATCAACTGAAGAATAAATTGAATAAAAATAAATAAAAGTAACTGACTATTGAAATGTRAAGAAACATAATCAGTTAAATTAAATTTATCCTTACAATAATTAAATTAAAATACAAATAGAGTCTCTTCGTTCTTTTTAATTCAAAATGTTAGGTAAATGTAACGGTTAACAAACACTTACCTACTTCTGTGTATACTAGATGAATATTAGATAATTAGAGAATTAATTTCTACATACATAAGTTGAAATACGTTTGAGAAAAACCTAAACTAACGACTCTACGTGTTAGTTAATATTCATGTTCATTGGTCCGCTATTTGTAAACAACTTTTTATTTGAAAATCAAATAAATTTCGTTCAAAATGATTGACACTGTATACAAATATAGAATTGTAAATATATACAGTAACTGTATTGAAGAAAAATAAGAAATAAAAGGGCTAATGATAATAATTACAAGATTTTAATTGAATAAAACTATTATGTATTAACATCTTTCCTTAAATCCATACAAATTTTTAATAGGAGAATAATTTTATGTAAGACATTTTCTACACAGTAGAAAAAAATGTAATATATGATATAAATCTTGAAAAAATATCGAAGTCAATAACTACTTATAATGTTGCAATACATAATAAATAGTAAATAAAAACCTTGATTTATGTCATACATTTATTTTTAACTATGACATATGTTATACGTTCAAAAAGTGATACTTCCTGTGAAAATAATATATTTTATATTTTCTACTAATGTTATTACACAAAATAATATATATTATTTCTTCGAAAAATAATACTACCGCAAATAAAACATTGCATTCCTTTAAAAATGTGTAAGTTTTTAAAAACAAATGTTTTTTTTCTGCAAGAAGTAATATTTTGAAAAAAAAAACATATATTTTATTGGTAATAATATTTAATTAAAATATTCTTTAAGAAGTGTTCCATTTGATAGATATTTCTCAACTAAAAATTAAAATATTCAACAAAATATTTATGCTAATATTGTGAATTTTAATTTTATTTTGTTTTATATTATGTAAATCATTTTCACAATTTAATATACACTAAAGTTTGTTAAGCATATAATAGTTACTAACAGTACACTATTATATTTGTCTTAAGTAATCTACCATTTTATATATTATTTGAGATATATTATTTTCAGGAATATTAGATATCACTTTTTAAAATATTTTATCAATACTTCTTACTTATGCAGAAACATTTTTATTCTTTTACTCATTTGCAAAGTATTTTAGTGTGTATGTATTATTCTCTTTTTTGAAAACATATTTACCCAAACCACAATAATAATAGTTGGCAAATTGTCCTTATATGTGAAAAAATGCTTCTGCTTATGTTGATCTTAACATTATTAATTACAATATAAAAGTGTATTAAAAATGATAATTAAAAAACTATAAAAATATAAATATAAAAATGACAATACTAAACATTGAACGGATTAAATTGTTTCTGTTTTCTGCTAAATCTGCTCAAACCTTTATGTCCATTTCATTTGATTCCACATTTTTGACAAATTGTTAATGTGGAAAGAAGGATGGACACAATTGTTCAAAGGTTATATTAAGTAAAGAAATATCCGTGTTCTTACATTTAACATTTTTAAAATCTGTATAAGAATGTTGTTTTTGTGAAACTAATATATATAAAAATCTAGCATCGCAATCACATATAAATGGATTCCCACTTAAAGTAAGTACTTTGAAGTCTTGACGAAACAAGAAGTCACTTACTGCGTAATTCAAGTTTATTAGAATATTATTATGTAATTCTAATACCTAAAAACGTAAAAGAAAATAAAAGTGAAAACTCATAAATAACCCTAACGAAAAAAAAAGGAAAGATAATAAAACAAGTTATTTACGTACTTTGAGAGTTTTTGGTAATATGTCT